CATGTGTATGATGAAACTAGAGAACATTGATAAAACAATACTTACATCAACATTAGACATTTCAGGATGATCCTCACCAAGTGTTAACATTATTAGATACATAACTCTATACAGTAATCTCAACGCCACAACATTCCTCTCAGCCCCACAGCAATACTAAGCCAAATGGAACTATATAAAGAAAAAAATCAGTGGTGGGCTTAGTCGTTGAAATTATCATGATCATGGTTTCCTGCAGAATTTTGACATAATGCTCTCAGTGAATTTTTAAAGTTGTTCCAAATGTTGATAAAATATTTCAGAATGTATTTTCCCAAAATTTAATCAAACATTGCAAAGGTAAAACTTTTATTAAACTTTGTGATACATATAGAAGTTCTAATACTGTGAAAAAATTTTAAGCAGACTCTAGTCAAAATTTGGATTTTTATAAATTTTAAAACTTGCTTTAAAATTGGATCAAAGACATGGTACATGGTATTTGGCCAGAATTTGCCAAAAACAACTTAGGAGAAAATTCTGTGTTTATAATTTTCTCATAACATGTCCATATGTTGTACAGAAAGTTAAAGCTCATTCTGATCAAAGTCAGATTTTCATTAATTTTTAAATTTTGCTAAAAAAGGGGCCAATACCAAAGAATTTGGTTTTTGACCAAATTTTGCCAAAAATTGCTCAAGAGACATGTTTCTGATACATATACATGTCCTAATGATGTTCCAAAGTTTGAGCTCATTCTAATCAAATTTGGATTTTTTATGAATTTCAAAGGCTTGTCAGCTCATAAAGCATGCCTTTTAGCTCATTTAGCATGCTTTGTGGGGAACTAATAGTGCGATAAATTTATAATAAATATTGTGTGTGTGGCCCGTTATTAATAACTAACATAGGCTGATATAGAGCTGCAGTGGTCCACTCCTAGCAGTCTCTCATACATAATGACAGTTTTGTGCTGAAATGATATTGCCTGAAGATGAAAAAAAAAGAGAGAGATTAAATGTAGCAAGTCAATTTAAAATTAAATTTCAATTGAGTAAATAATTAATTGCTACCTTGTAAAGAAATTAAAATATTAATAAAGTTTTAAAGCGTTTTGAACTAAAGTCTGTTGAGTTTCATTTGACTTAGTGATTTTTAACGACCTGGGGGTGTAGTCCCCTTGTCGTTTCTACATGTATAATTGATTTCACCCACATGTGATGCTTGCATATTTGTATGTCCACACTTACATTTCTTTTATACATGTTGTATTGGAGAAATAAGAAAATTCATAAGCCTTAGCAAACACCCTCCCACGCTCCTTTAAGTAGTCAGAGCAAACAAAATGGTGGCTTACACATAGGACAAAGTTATAAGTTTTTATGCAAAAGAACATATGTACAGTCTCAAGACCTTTCTTGAAGGATTAGAAGGTAGAGAAAACCTCTTTAAGTTTTAATAAGAACCCAGCTGTACATGCAAGGTGGTGAAATCAATTATAGTAATACTTTTACACTGTTACGCTTGTTTATAATAACTTTTGGTAATCCAGGAATTTAGAAATTTTGTTTGTGCCATTAGAATTGCTAGGTCCTTCCAGTCCTTAGAAAAGAACAGATCAAAATGACAAGGCCTTAGCCTATTTTGGATGTCCCTCTATAAACTCAATGACATACCTTGACCAAAATGACGCAGCTAGAACAGCCAAATCAAATTCAGCTTTTATTATTAATTGATAACAACCAGGGATCAGGTGAAAGTGAGTAAACTTTAGAACATGCATAACATTTTAACTCGGTATCAGTCATTTAAACTAAACTACATGTACAACCAGTTGATACATTAACATGTACATGGCATGCACATACATGTAGTTACATGCACCACTTACTAGTTTACTGTCTCCTAGAGCATGATGAATTCATGCAATAACTCTATATATAATAATACAATGGAATATATAAGTACTTAAATGAC